AAACATATATATATATATATATATATATATATATATATATATATATATATATATATATATAATTTCAATTGTATTGTTAATCCATTCTGTACATCTGTACATACTGTATGTGTATATGTATATATATAATTGACATTTTATAATTAATCTGGCAAAATGTACATTACAAGTTATGATGTATCAAACTGATACTTAAATTTATTTTTAAAACTATCAAACCAATAAATGTGCTTCTCAGAGAAACTTTAGTAGATTCATTTTGGAGCTTATGTAAAACCTCTGACTCAAGAGCCATTTTAGCTTGTTCATTCCTGCTGCCCATGGTGTGGAAGCTGACGGTAAAGATGTGCTAATTAAATGATCTTATCTGAATGAGGATGTACAATCACCTGCTGTTCTTTTCTAGTGACTCAGTTGTGAAAGACTCATTCTTACTCTCTATCCTACCCATACCTGTACTTTTAAGTTTTTTACTTACTGTTACTATTCTACATGTGTGTTGAGCGGTAAACCGTGGTGAATGTTTTGGCACGTAGATTAATATCTCTCAAGAGTGGTGTGGAGGCAAAGACTGGGGAGAGCCAGAAGAGAGGTGAACTGAACCTGAGGTGTGGTATACTGTTGACTCAATCTGAGGACTTCAACAATAATTTACTGCACAGACAGGTGGGAACTTCCCTGATGGTGTTGTTTAAGAAAAGTTTCATACATGAAAAAGAATCTCATTCTCTTAAAGAAACTGTTCTGGTTTGCTTCCAAGTAACATATTTAACCAGGTGCCCAGGTTAAAATAAATTGTTAATAGGTTTTAATTGTTAGAAACGTAATCTAGGTCTGGACTTAAGCTGTCTGTGGAAAACCTCTTGAGCCTGGCCGAATAAATTGATATCCTCTCTATAATATAATATTATATTAAGAATCAAAACCTCAGCAAAATAGATTTTAAAAAATGCATTTATGTTTTTTCGAATAACACTTCACTGGCCTTTTTCAGTAATGAAATATGTCATTTTATTGGACAAATCTAACATTCACAAAATTTCCAACAACAACTAAACAAAGCTTTTTTTTTCTGCAAGTACATCAGTTCCAAATGGTAGTTTGATGGCACTTTGGCCCAAACAACTTCAGGTCATTGATTTCTGACCGTAGATCTACTCTGTTTATGATTATTCGTGTGTTTTTGGAAGCATTTGTTCAATCTTAAACTGACACACTATTGCTTTTCTTATGTTGGATTTGTGACTCATCATATTGTCACTCTCACAATTCTCACAATTCTAACCTTTTTAATTGCCTACTGATGTAGTGAACACCTTTTGAAGTGATTTTGTTGAACACAGAGCTCAATTCACAGTGCCAGGACCAAATTATAATGTTGGACCCCAGCCTCCATACATTAAGAAGCATTGATTTAGTAGGTTTCCTCTAGTCCCAGGGCCTGGGACAATGTTCCTGGTTGTTCCCCCCTGATGGCAGCTCTGTCTCGACTCCCTTTATAAGAAAGAGTAACAAAAAACAAAGAGTACCACACTCCATAAGCATGGATTTATGAGGGCCAAATTCTTGCGCAGTAGGTCCATAACTAATAATTCTCAATTACCTTTTAAATTAGATCCATAGAAATCTTTTTGGTTCAAGAAAACAGTCTAATTTTAGAAACCTGTGTCCTTGAGGAAACAATAGACAGTTTGTGTTACTGGGAAAAGCCCTTAGTCTCATGTGTGTCCTCACAGATTTATTCATCATGGCCAATCAGCATCTACCACTGTCTCAGGAGACTTTAGCTCAGTTCAATCGCTCCATGTCCACAGAACCAGGTGCCTCAGGGCCTCCAAGGCGACGTCTGGGCTCTATCTCCACTCGCCGAAGCTCCAAAGACCAATCCAAGGACCAGCCCCACCACAGACCCCAGTTTCTCAGGAGCATGACGGTTCCTTCATCCGAGTCATTGTTCTTGAGCCCCAGCGTCAGCAATTCTCACATCTCCATGGGCAAGCGGTTCTCATTCGCAGGCTGGCACCAGGGAGGAAGAGTGAGCTTCTCTGGACTGTACCTTCAACAACCCATCCAGGAGGTGTATGTGGAGAACACCTACAGAATGGGACCAGAACCAGGGTGCCATTTCAGTGCCAGCAGGACCCAGCAGATCTTACAGGCCACTTTGGATAGTTATTTGGAAGGTGTGTGTTACAGTCCTGATAGTTGTAGCCAGCTGTGTCAGATGTTAGCAGATCTAGTTCTCAGTAAACTAAAAGATGTCAATCCGCCACGATATAAACTCGTGTGCCAGGTGGTGGTCGGGCAGAGTGGTAAACAAGGTATAAGGATGGCCAGCCGTAGCCTGATGAACCCCAACACTGACAACTACACATCTGCTGTTTTCCATAATCACTCGCTGTTTGCTGTGGCTTTAGTACACCGCTTGTACTTTGAATGAAAGCTAAATCAACAGCCCTTAATATGTGTACACAAAATGCATGTTTAAAAAAAGTTAGTCTTTTTAAAGATTCAAACTAAGGCTGCATTTATTTGAGGGAGCCAAAAAAAAAAAAAAAAAAAAAAAAAAAAAATTTAAAAAAACCAAAAAAAAGAAAAAAAAAAATAAAAATTTTAAGTAATATAGTGAAAAATATAATTACAATTTTAAAGGATTTTTTTTTTTTTAATAGTCAAATAGGGGCAGTACGATTTTTTTTGGCTCATCTCTGCATGAAGTCTCTTATACTATAATTTAAAAGAAAATTTTTCTATTTTAATACATTTTAAAAAGTAAATTAATATTGTGATGGCAAAGCTGATTTTCCAGCAGACATAAATTCAGAAATCAGTATCATAATTTATATACAAATTCTAATTTTATATACTTAAAAAAAAAAAAAAAAATTATATTATATATATATATATATATATACACACACACACACAAAATATAATGGGGCTGTAATTTTTGTTGTTTATTTTCGACAGAAGTCTCTTATGCTCACTGAATGAGTCATTAAATATTTGAGGTGTCTTGCGGAGGAAAAGTCATAATAATCTTACCAAGCCTAAACTTTAAAACCAAGAAATTAAGTTACAATTACTACAAATAGAAATAGAAATTAAACTTAATGATAAAATTAAAACGTTTAATTGTCTTTAAAATCTGAAAAAATAAACAAGACAGAAAATTTTTATTTTCAATAAACTTTATTCCCCCCCCTCTCCCAATACATAAAAAGTGATCATACTGAACATTTCCCAGTGTTGACGCCATACAATTATGTTACATCAATAAATAAAAAACTATAAATAAAAAAATAAATAGAACACGTGCCACAATTAATTAATAATACTAGTTAGGATTTGTCTAAGGGTAATCGCTCACAATGTTGGTATTCTGAACACCTATTTAACACTTACAGTCATGGTCACAGTTTTGAGGACATTATGATTACTTATGATGGAGCATGTCAAGTAAACAAAGCTGGAGGCACACTGAATACAGTCTTTTTTTCCTCAAGTACGGACATTAAGGATATAATAACTTTTAACAGCAAAAAGCTTATATCAGGTGTATTTGTAGTGTTTCTTCCCCCACTCCTGCCTAATTCGCTTGGAAAACCGAATATGAAGACTCTATATAAAGCCCCTTTCATTCCCTTTGTGACTTAAGCTTGAGATCCAGGGCCATTATTGCACAGAGGAATCCATCAGAAAGGCACTTTAGTCTCTCCCAATCCTAACTGCTCCTCCATGAATTACAGTTCCACCTCAGCCATTCACCTCTGCCATCTTTAAAACTAATCTCATTAAAAGAATAACCATTTGGTGTTCGTAGCTCTTCTTGTTTGTGTACTATTTAGTGAAATAAAATGTCCTTTTTAAAAAAAAAAAAAAAAAGGCCAAGTGATCGAGCATAAAAAGTCAAGCTCATCTTGCGCAGTGTTTGGGACATCGCGAGCAAAAGCAAGACGCTTAAGAACCCTGTGAGTTTTGCCATCTGCACTTCAGTCCAGCTAAAAAAAATGAAATCATAAAAAGAACAAGCTCAAATTTTGGTTGTGCACACTGTGAGTCAAGCTGGTAGTGTGATACGGTTGGTCGCAAAAACAACTAAAAACCAAACGAAAAATAGTGCACCATAGTTCAAAGAGGCCAGCCGATGACCAAGGACAGGAGATCTTCATGGCAACGTGGAAGCTTCCCCCGATTTTTTTTCTTTGTCATAGTCCTTTTTTGCTTCTCAAACGGAAGCGGTAAGCAGCAAGTCGTAATCGAAGTTCTTAGTCATTATGCGTTGGTGTAGTGCTGGAGAAGCTGTACCACATAATGAAGCCGCTGCCGGAGCTCCGGAGAGCAGCCCCATTGGGAAAGCACATTCAGAGGGTAGGAATAAGAGACGCGCTCCTTGCTGATGTAGGTCAGCAAGTACGAGGAGTCCGAAGTCTTGGACAGGATGATTTTTGTATGGTCTGTGTAAAAATTAACCTGGGAAAGAAAGCGGAAAGAGAGGGAATGTTATGAACTGGCCAAGCAATTCAAATGCTCAATGTTTCATCCTTTTTTTGCAAAATCAGAGACTTACCTGTAGGGTTCGGTTGTCAAAGAGCATGACTAAGGCGTGATCAGTCTTGATCCACTGCAGAAGCAATGGAGAAGAGCTTGGAGGTGGCTGGGCCTCACAGTTGACGTCTCCACCCTACAAAAATTAAAATTTGTTTTAAAATAAACCATAAAACTTAAGAAACTGTTTTATTTTTGTACATATTTATGATTGATTTATTAGGTAAATTTACATAAAAATATAAATAATAGAAATGAATAAAATATATTTTTTTTAATAGAATTTCACTTGATAAAGGTTAGTGCTGAACTTTAGTTTAGTTTATATTTTAGAAAATAAACCATTTAAAATATTACCACTAAAAATAGTTATTTAATAGAGAATCACATAATTCAAATGTGAATCTGGACCACAAAACCAGTCGCGCAGGTACATTTGTAGCAATAGCCAATTGTTTGGTATGGGTCAAAATTATCAATTTTTCTTTTATGCCAAAAATCATTAGGACATTAAGTAAAGATCATGTTCCATAAAGATATTCTGTATATTTCCTACCGTAAATATATCCAAAAGTAATTTTTGATTGGTAATATGCGTTGCTGAATCACATAATTCAAATGACCCTCATGACTGGTTTCGTGGTCGAGGGTCACAAATGTCTAAATTCTATATTTAAGAGCTCATTTCTACACTTACCTCCATTAGGTTCTGCTCCATGTAGTTAGCCATCAAATCCACTATGTGCTTTTGATTCTGGAGCTTTTCTGGTAAAGCGTCAGCTGGAAAACTAAAGTGTTTGTTGTTCGTCAGACAGTAATGTACAGTCCTGCGGAAGAATAAAAATAAGCAATTGGAACATCACATAAAGCAAAGCTTCTTAAAACAATTTGGTCAAAAGCAAAGACTTTGTAAAGGGTAAAGCACTCTATGTGGGTCAATCAGAGCTCAGTCCAAATGCCAAACTGGAGACTCATTAGCGAACGGGAACACAAAGTAAGCGAACCTACCGCCGCTGGTCACACAGGCTCAGATGAGTGCCTTCGTTGAAGAGTACACCGACGTTTTGATTGGAGAGCTGGTAACCGAAGCCGTATTTGTTGGAGTAGTCGACCCACTTGGTTACCCAGATGAAAGGCTTGATTTTAGAAAGGCAGGGTGGGTTTCTTGAAGCTGGAAGAGGAAAGGACAATATTTGAGTACATGATCAATGGCTTAAGAGTAAACCTTGAAAAGGACCATTGCTTAAGCGCCACAGTGTGACCAGAGTGTGGGAACAAACCTGTCGGCATGGAAGACAAGCAACTGTTAAGAACCTTCATGGCAGATTCGGCCACAGCAGCAGGGGTAGGGATATCGTCACTAGCTGAGGAGGGGGAAAAAAAACAAAAAGAGCAAGTTAAATGAAAGTGACTTAATTACTTGTGGGGTGGGTATACATGCATAATATATTTATATATGTAATATATACACACACACATACATACACATACACATTTAATATTAGTGTAGCTTGGTTATATTATATTATAGACAACAGTTGTTCTGCTTAATATTTTTGTAGAAAACCATGACCCTAAACTTTTGATTGGTAGTGTAAATGTAAAAAGGTAGACAAATCTAAACCATAAAACTTAAGAAACTGTTTTATTTTTGTACATATTTATGATTGATTTATTAGGTAAATTTACATAAAAATATAAATAATAGAAATGAATAAAATATTTAATTTTTTTATAGAATTTCACTTGATAAAGGTTAGTGCTGAACTTTAGTTTAGTTTATATTTTAGAAAATAAACGATTTAAAATATTACCACTAAAAATAGTTATTTAATAGAGAATCACATAATTCAAATGTGAATCTGGACCACAAAACCAGTCGCGCAGGTACATTTGTAGCAATAGCCAATTGTTTGGTATGGGTCAAAATTATCAATTTTTCTTTTATGCCAAAAATCATTAGGACATTAAGTAAAGATCATGTTCCATAAAGATATTCTGTATATTTCCTACCGTAAATATATCCAAAAGTAATTTTTGATTGGTAATATGCGTTGCTAAGGACTTCATTAGGACAACTTTATTTTCTCAATATTTAGATTTTTTTTGCACCCTCAGATTACAGATTTTCAAATAGTTGTCCTACCCTAACAAACCATACATCAATGGAAAGCTTATTTATATTCAGCTTTCAGATGATGTATAAATCTCAATTTCAAAAAATTGACCCTCATGACTGGTTTCGTGGTCGAGGGTCACAAATGTCTAAATTCTATATTTAAGAGCTAATTTCTACACTTACCTCCATTAGGTTCTGCTCCATGTAGTTAGCCATCAAATCCACTATGTGCTTTTGATTCTGGAGCTTTTCTGGTAAAGCGTCAGCTGGAAAACTAAAGTGTTTGTTGTTCGTCAGACAGTAATGTACAGTCCTGCGGAAGAATAAAAATAAGCAATTGGAACATCACATAAAGCAAAGCTTCTTAAAACAATTTGGTCAAAAGCAAAGACTTTGTAAAGGGTAAAGCACTCTATGTGGGTCAATCAGAGCTCAGTCCAAATGCCAAACTGGAGACTCATTAGCGAACGGGAACACAAAGTAAGCGAACCTACCGCCGCTGGTCACACAGGCTCAGATGAGTGCCTTCGTTGAAGAGTACACCGACGTTTTGATTGGAGAGCTGGTAACCGAAGCCGTATTTGTTGGAGTAGTCGACCCACTTGGTTACCCAGATGAAAGGCTTGATTTTAGAAAGGCAGGGTGGGTTTCTTGAAGCTGGAAGAGGAAAGGACAATATTTGAGTACATGATCAATGGCTTAAGAGTAAACCTTGAAAAGGACCATTGCTTAAGCGCCACAGTGTGACCAGAGTGTGGGAACAAACCTGTCGGCATGGAAGACAAGCAACTGTTAAGAACCTTCATGGCAGATTCGGCCACAGCAGCAGGGGTAGGGATATCGTCACTAGCTGAGGAGGGGGAAAAAAAACAAAAAGAGCAAGTTAAATGAAAGTGACTTAATTACTTGTGGGGTGGGTATACATGCATAATATACTTATATATGTAATATATACACACACACATACATACACATACACATTTAATATTAGTGTAGCTTGGTTATATTATATTATAGACAACAGTTGTTCTGCTTAATATTTTTGTAGAAAACCATGACCCTAAACTTTTGATTGGTAGTGTAAATGTAAAAAGGTAGACAAATC